CAGCTGCCAAAGAACAACAACAGCAAAAAAGGAAATTAAGACATTTCTAGCCCTGGCTGGTTAGCTCAGTTAGTTAGAGTGTTGTCCTGATATACAAGGTTGCAGGCTTGATCCGTGCCTGGTCAGGGCACATATAAGAATCAACCAATAAGTGCTTCAAGAAGTAGAACAACAAAACGATGTTTCTCTCTCTCCCTTCTCTCTCTCTCTCAAATCAATCAATAGAAATTTTTTAAAAGACACATTTCTCTAATATGTGTGCACTGTGGCCCAACTCAGGATGAGTAAGAAAGGCAGAATGAAGATGTCAGGTCTGAATTTTGGTGGAAGGTGTCTGAGTCAACCAATAATCAAGGTCTTGGAGAGCAAAGATCCATTGAGCCTCTCAGCCCATGCTCACCAGGTGAAATGAGGCCACACCTAGCCACTGACCCATCACAGAGCTCTTTAAGCCCCCCTGGGATTAGTGCTGCCTGGGAGTTAACATCTGAGCTGCTCAAGTGGGAATGTTCTCAACCGTAGCCTTCACCCAATGGCCTCTGCCCTGGAGGAGTCTCTTTGTGAAGGAGAGTAGCAGTACTACCAACCCCAGAGGGCTGAGGTGTCCTAGGGCTCCTCCATCATTAGCACCCAATTAATGTCAGAGAAAGTGGAGACAGTTATGACAGTGGGGGTGGTATGGTGATTAGAGTCTCCTGCTAGAGTCCTTGACCAGAGTAATGGGGTGTTCCTAGACACCTTTGAGGGACTCTTCTCCAGCCCTGATAAAAGGGAATCCTGCCACAGGCACCAGCAGGGATGAACCTGGGGGACTTTATGCTGAGTGAAGTAACCAGTCACAGGAAGACAAACACTGCAAGGTTCCACTCCAGTGATGCATGTAGAAAAAAGTCCTAGAAGCAGAGCATGGAATGGTGAAGAGCTGGGGAAGGGAGAAAGCAGGAAGTTATTATTCAACGGGTGTCAAGTTTCAGTTATGCAAGGTGAGCAAATTCTGGAGATTTCCTGAACAATATCCCATGTTTCTAGTGAACGACACCACAATGCACACTTAAAATCTTTTTTTAAATATGTTTTATTGATTATGCCATTACAGTTGTTCTATTTCCCCCCTTCATTCCCTCCACACTTAAAATCTTGATAAGAGAGTTACCCTGGCTGGGTAGCTCAGCCAGTTGGAGTGTTGTCCCAATACACCAGGGCTGTGGGTTTGATCCCCAGCCTGGGTGCATGCAGGGAGCAACCAACGAATACATAAATGAATGGAATGACAAATCAATGTTTCGCTCTCTCCCTCTGTCTAAAAATCAATAAAGCAAAAAAAAATTGTTGGTAAGAGTGTAGATCTCACATTCGGTATTCCTGTCACAATTATGAATAAAAGATAGTTGCAAATTCTAACTTCCGCCCTTTCTGCCCAGAGCTCATTGTCCAAGAAGAGCCACTGATACCCTCATGCACAAAAGGCTCCATTCTAGATGCTTCTATGAAAGTTGAGAAAATGAGCGAGATAGCTCCTCTGGGGAAGCTGAGAGTGTGGGGAAAGCGGACAATCAGATTAGGAGCAGGGTAGTCCTCACGACCAGTCTCCAACTGCCTGCCTTTGGAAGTGGGAGAAGGTTGCTTACAGAAGCCCAGAGGTTATAATACAGAGAGCGTCTATTAGTAGTGTCTTGGGGATATGCGGGAAGGAATATCATTCACACCTGAGGCAGAAGAAACACGCCTTAACACTTTCACATCACCCTCTGAGTTGCATCAATCAAGAGTCAAGCCAGCCAATGGGAGGAGAGCGATTGGCTACAGCCAATTGGAGGGCAAGAAGAGCCTTTTAGTCTCAGCGCCCGTAGACGCTTTTTGATGGGTACCAGTCTGGAGGACCAGCGGCTGGATCAGGTGAGGATGTCTTCTCTTGGATCTTTCTTTCTTCTTTCTTCTCCTCTCAGCACTTACTGTAGGTCTGGGGGACATTGGGAATGAGGAAACATGCCAAGATGTTTTAATGTGAAAAGTGCTTAAATTCTTGGAGAGGTGGTGCACGCAGCACCTCCTCTTGAAACCTCCGTGTTTCCAGCGCTAAACTGGGTGAGAGAATGGGACTGAGGATTCCGAGTTTTCTCAAATTGAATCAGCGCCCTGGCCAGGTGGTTGGAGTGTCATCCTGGTTGCATCCCTGGTCAGCATACACACAACAACCAACCAGTGAGTGCATAAATAAGTGGAACAACAAATTGATGTTCTTCTATTTCTTCTTTTCCCTCTCTCTAAAATCAATAAATAAAAGTAAAATAAGATAAGATAAAATTGAGCCCTGGCTCAGCCATATTAGTGGCTCAGTGGATTGAGAGTGCACTACAAACCAAAGGGTAGCTGGTTTGATTCCCAGTCAGGGCACATGCCTGGATTGTGGGTCAGGTCCCCAGTAGGGGGCCTGTGAGAGGCAACGACGCATTGATGTTTCTCTCCCTCCCTCCCCCTTTGAAAATAAATAAAATCTTTTTTTAAAAAAGAATAAAATAAAATGGAATCGGAAACTGAATTGGAGGACTTTGGGTATTGGAGAACTAATACCCAAAGTCCTCCAAAGTCAAAGCTTTGAACTTGGTTGATTTCTCCTCTCAGTTCTGATTGTGAGATTCCTGTAACCTGGGGAGACCAACAAAAAGCATGTTTTTGGTAAGGGGGAATTACGGGAGGGAGAGGGCAGACAGGAAACAGGGAAAATTGAGTGTGAGGCTTGTTGCTGTGGTAGTTTGGATGGATGATTGGCTTCCAGCCACTAATCCTTCGTCATCCAGAAGTTCTAGTGGGTCCTTATTGTATGCCAAATCATATGCAAATAATTTCGTCACTAATGTTGGTTTGCTACAGCCACTGGGGAGGGTGGGAGTGAATCAGGTGATGTGAGTTGCGAAGTCAGTCAGGTTGTGCCCATACTGTGAGGGCTACAACCAAAAAGGTGGTGGAACCCAATGTGCGCCTGATGAGAATTTGTGAGGTGTTAGGGTGTTGCGCTGAGGTGCCCACTGCCCATCTGGACCCTGGGGTGTGAGGGCGGGGACATTAACCAGCCAGTGTTTGGGCTTCAGGGGGCACAACTAACACGTTCAGGAGAAGGTTTAAACTAGAAAAGGAATGAGAAAGAAATGTTGAGAGAAAAACCTTATGACAAAAGAGTTTTGTGTTGTTGTGTTTTTTCATTGTGGTGAACTATTGGCCCTGTCCAGGCAGCTCAGTTGGTTAGAGATTAGAGCCTCATCCCGAAGGGACGAGCCAAAGTTGCAGGTTTAATCCCTGGTCTGGGCACATACAAGAACCAACCAATGAGTGCACAACAAATTGTTTTCTTTTTCCCTCTTTTCCCTTTTCTCTCTCTCAAATCAAAAAATTTTTAAAAAATGAAAAATGTGGCAATATATCCATACAATAAAGTCTACTATTTTAACCATTTTTTAAGATGAAATGTATTGAGGTAACATTGGTTAATGACATTATATAAGTTTCAGGTGTGTCACTCTATAATACGTCATCTGTATATTTCATTGTGTGCTGAGCATCCAAAATCTATTTCCTGTCTCCATATATTTGGCCCCTCTCCCCCTTATATTAGCCATTTAAGAGCATAGCTTAGTGGAATTAAATACATTCACATTGTTATGCAACCATCACCACCACCATCTCCAGAATTTTTTCATCCTTGTCAGCTGAAACTTTCTGCTAAACCAGTCCCATTCCCCTCTCGCCCAACATCTCTAGTCTACTTTGCCTCTATGAATTAGACTATTCTGGGCATCTCATGTAAGTGAAATCATACAAGATTTATCCCTTTGTATCTGGCTTATTTCACTTTGTCATGTTTTCAAAGCTTCTCTGGGTGGCAGCATGTGTCAGGAGTCCATTTCTTTTTTATGGCTGAGTAATATTCCACCACTCATGTAGACCACATATTGTTCATTCCTTGATGAACAGTTGGGTTGCTTCCACCTTTTGGCTTTTGTGAGTAATACTGTTAAGATCCTTGATGTACAATTTAAAACTCTTTGACACATGGGTTTTATTGACGATGGTGGCTGTTTTTTCTAGTTGTTCTTTTGAAATATTAGCTTACCATCAATCTCTAGGAACAAGAAGGCACATCTCCCAAGTGAGAGGAAAACCTGAGTTTGCTTGGATGTTCTCTCCCCACTCCTTATTTCTATCTCCTAGAATGAAATCACCTGCAATTTTCATGCCAGTTCAGTTTTCCCATTACTGACACTGGGTGAGAATTCAGGGGTGTCCAACCTGCAGCCCAGGATGGCTGTGAATGTGGCCCAAAATGAAATCGTAAATTTCCTTAAAACATTATGAGATTATTTTGTGTGTGTGATTACGTGTCGCAATGTATTTAATGTGTGGCCCAAAACAACTCTTCTTCCAGTGTGGCCCAGAGACACCAAAAGATTGGATACCCCTGTTAGATTACGTCAAGTAGGGGCAGCATGGTAACTCTCCCAGGGTGCAGCTGAAATCAGATCATTCTATTCATGAGGGAAAACTCATCAACCTGACTCATTAGGTTATAGCCTATACTTAGAAACCTAGAGAAATGCCTGCTTTATATGCACCCAAACACATGTGAGAGCTTGTTCACAGATGCATCATTCATGCTGTAAAAAAACAAAAACGAGAAAGATCTCTACATGCCAGTCACCTATAGCGTTAAGAAATTGGAATAGTGCTCTGGCCAGTGTGGTTCAGTTGGTTGGAGTGTCATCCTGTAAACAGAAAGGTTGCAGGTTCAGTCCCTGGTCAGAGCACGTGAAAGGCAGCCAACTGCTGTTTCTCTCCCCCTCTCTCTTCTCCCTTCCCTTCTAAAATCCATGAATATGTCTTTGGGTGAGGACTTAAAAAAAGGGGGGGGGAAGTGGGTTGGGATGGGAGTAAATACAGAAAACAGTACTTGAACAATAACTAAATAAAATAAAAATTTTTAAAAAGGGGGCAAAGAACGTGCGTCCAGCAACAGAGTACTTCATTCCTCCTTCAGAATGAATGGAGACCAGAAATTGTATGACCAAAAGCTGGAGCTTCATCCAGCACTTCCCTGAGATCGTCAGGGTACTGACTGAGGATGACATGGAGCACCCAGAAATAGGAGATGCTATTGCCCGTCTCAAGGAGGTCCTGGAGTACAACCTCATTGGAGGCAAGTACAATCGGGGCATGACCGTGCTGATAACCTTCCAGGATCTGGTGGAACCAAGAAAGCTGGATGCTGACAGTCTGCAGCAGGCCATGACTGTGGGCTGGTGTGTGGAACTGCTCCAGGCTTTCTTCCTGGTGGTAGATGACATTATGGATTCATCCCTCACCCGACAGGGGAAGATCTGCTGGTATCAGAAGCCAGGCATCGGTTTGGACGCCATCAATGATGCAATTCTTCTGAAAGAGTGTGTCTACCGACTGCTGAAGCTCTACTGCCGGGAGCAGCCCTTTTACCTGAACCTTAACGAGCTCTTCCTGCAGAGTTCCTATCATACTGAGATTGGACAGAGCCTGGACCTCATCACCATCCCGCAAGGCAGCGTGGACTTTGGCCAATACACTGAAAAGAGGCTCAAATCTATTGCCAAGTATAAGACTGCTTTCTACTCTTTCTACCTTCCTGTAGCTGCTGCCATGTATATGGCGGGCATTGACGGGGAGAAGGAACATGCCAATGCCAAGAATATCCTGCTGGAGATGGGGGAGTTCTTTCAGGCTCAGGATGATTACCTTGACGTATTTGGGGACTCCAGTGTAACAGGCAAGATTGGCACTGATATCCAGGATGGTAAATGCACCTGGCTCGTGATTCAGTGTCTGCAACGGGCCTCTCCAGAACAACGCCAGATCTTGCAGGAGAATTACGGAGAGAAGGAGGCTGAGAAGGTGGCCCTGGTGAAGGCGCTGTACGAGGAGCTGAATCTGCAGGCCGCGTTTGAGCAATATGAAGAAGACAGTTACAGCCACCTTATGGGTCTCATTGAGCAACACTCGCCACCCCTGCCCCCAGCCATCTTCCTGAGGCTGGTGCACAAGATCTACAAGCGGAAAAAGTGACCCTAGAGACTACCAGGGCAGGGAGGGCAAGTTCTCAATAAATTACAGTAAAACCTCTCAACGCTATCTATAGGTGCTGGATATTGCAACAAAAGTTTGCCATAGGCTAATTTATACGGACAAGAGTTAAGTTTCTGGTTCCTGTGGCCTATTTCTGGTTACAAAAATGTAACCCAACACTTATGATATTAAACACTGAAATAAATGTGAGCCACACACATTTAAGGAATGAAAAAAAAATTTTTTTAAAGGGAATTGGAATAGTAACAGTGGAATAGTATATAGCAATACAAAGGGACCACAGGCAACAATATGGGTGAGCCTTACCAAAAAAAATGCCAACAAAAGCAGGCATTTGCTAAAATTGTATGACACCAAGCTACACTGCTTAGAATGCATATCTCAGTTAAAATATTATACTTAATATCATTTTATTTTTTAAGTAATAATGTACTAGTAAATCAATTTTACTGTATTCTAATTGCCTTTAAATTTTTTTTTATTGATTGACTTTACAGAGAGAAAGAAACATCAATTTGTTGTTTCACTTATTCATGCTTTGATTGGATGATTCTTGCATGTGCTCTGACCAGGGATTGAACCCACAACCTTCACATTTGAGGATGATTCTCTAACCAATGGAGCTATCCAACCAAGGCCTTATTACCTTTTTAATGTGTTTGTAAGAAAATTTTATTTCTGTTAAAGTATAAGTTTTACTTTCTAAATTTTACTTTTTAAAATTTACTTTTTAATTACAGTTGGCACTCAATATTACATTAGTTTCAGATGTACAACATAATGGTTTGACATTTTTTAAGAAGATTTTACTTATGTTTACAGAGGGAAAGGGAGGGATGAGGGAGAGAAATATCAGTATGTGGTTGGCTCTCATGGGCCCCTCCTGGGGACCTGACTGGGAATTGAACTGTGGACCCTTTGGTTCACAGGCTGCTACTCACTCCACTGAGCCACACCAGCCAGGGCTAATAGCCCAACATTTATACAATGTACAAAGTGTTCATTCATTAAGCTTAGTACCCACCTGGCACCATGCATAGTTATAATAATTTTTTGACTATGCTGTACTTCATATCCCTGGGACTATTCTGTAACTACCAATTTCTACTTTTCAATCTGTTCACCTTTTCACCCAGCCCTCAACCCTCCTCCCCTCTGGCAACCATCAGCCTGTTCTCTCCGAGTCTGTTCTCTGTATCTGTGAGTCTGTTTCTATTTTGTTTTATTTTCTTCTTTAAATTCCACACATAAGTGAAGTCATATGGTATTTTGTCTTTTCCTATGTGATTTATTTCACTGAGCATAACACCCTCTAGGTCCATCCATGTTGTTGCAAATGGCAGGATTTCATTTTCTCTGGCTGAGTAATATTCCACTGTGTACATGTATGACATCTTCATCCACTCATCTATCTATCCACAGGCACTGGGCTGGTTCCATATCTTGACTCTTGTAAGCAATGCATTGCTGCCACTTTTGACTGCAGAGATTTAACTCTGTGATCCCATCCCTCTTCCCCAGGAATCACCTATTTCTTGTTTTTGAAGATTTTTTTTTCCTTTACAGAGGTCCGAGCTCACCATCCCTGGGACAAGATGGCTGAATCTTCCTTTTCTGACTCTGGCTTGTTGCGGTACATCAAGGAGCTCAGAGAGGAAGAGTTCTGGAAGTTTAAGGAGCTCCTTGTACAAGAGCCTCTGAAACTCAATCTCAAACCCATCCCATGGCCCACGCTGAAGAAGGCCTTGAGAGAAGATGTAGCAGCATTGCTGGACAAGCATTACCCAGGAAAGCAGGCGTGGGAAGTCATGCTGAGTCTCTTCCTACAGGTCAATCGGAGAGACCTCTGGACCACGGCTCAGAATGAGATCAGAAGTAAGTGTGTGTTTCAGGGGTGCACCCCATAGGGGAGGGTGGGTCGACTAGGAACTTACAATAATGAAGGGGATGTAGTCATTAAAATCATGGTGACCCCTCCATCTGTTATTGAGGGTGTGTTATAGGTCAAGGGGACACTTGAAGGTGGTAGAAAAATTACAAGCCAACTCCACACATAGATGAGCCAGGGATGGATGGGAGGGGGGGAGTAGCTCTGGGGCAGACTGTTGATCTCAGTGGTGTCCCCTTTTCTCTGTCCTGAAGTGAGTCCATGCCACTAGGGTGACCTGGGACTTAGCATCCACTGAGATGGTAGTTGTCTCCTTTTTTTTGCTTTTAATCCTGAGGATATGCTTATTGATTTGAGCAAGAGAAAGAGAGGGAGAGACAAAGAGAGACATACATACACAGAAATACACAAAAGGAGACAGAGATATTGCTAAAATTCTCATGTTTTATGAATTTTTTAGAGAGAGATAGAGATGAATACTGATTGGTTGTTCTACTTATTTACATGTTCATTGGTTGGTTCTTGTATGTGTCCTGACCAGGGATTGAACCCACAGCCTTGGGTTATGGGGACAGTGCTCTAACCAACTGAGCTTTAACCAACAAGTTCTCCTGTTTTTATAAACAAAACTTCTCTGCACCAGAGAAAGACCATCTCTCAGTCCTAGGCTGTTTTCCAGTCACACGTCCTTTAACAAAGCTATCCCTGCTCTTTGCTCGGAAGATACACAGAGGTGCCTGGCCTACAGTGGTGTTCATTTCTGCAGTGCAGAGTGTGGTCCTGGTTCATATTTGCAGCTTTGTTTACCTCCTCTAATGTGTTTCCTTGGTCATGCCAGGGCCAGGGGAAAGAATGATGGTTCCAGGGTATATTTCTGAAATTAGCTCCCCTCAGCACAGTGCAGTAGAAATCGTCTAGACCTTATGGCTTCAGGTCAAGCAAATGTAGCACAGACCCTGAACCGTAATATTTATTCACAATCCAAATCAGCCAAATAGTATAAACTCCCTCAATGATTTTTTGTGAAGTGGGAGTGGAGTGAATGCTAATGGTCTCTTGAGCAATAACATCTTCCTACTGATTCCTGGCAAACCCTCCATACATGGTGGCTCTTACAGATTCTTTACCTGGGGGAGACAACCCCCTCTTCCAGTTTTTAATGTGATTTCCAAGTGTCCACACTTTGTGTAGCCTACTTGGAGGTGAGCTTCCACTTTTGATCGGGTTCTTCTATGGACAGGGTTTCAGATAGGTTCTGGTCCTAACAATGCTGAGTTTATAACCTGGATCATCCATGGACATACATTAGCCTCCACAGGTGTGTTCAGGTAAACTTGTAAGGATTATTCCACATAACAAAGAATGAATGCATTTTTTAAAAATGTAAGCCCTGGCTGGTGTGGCTCAGTGGATCGAGGGCGGGTCTGCTGACCAAAGGGCTGCAGGTTCAATTCCCAGTCAGGGCACATGCCTGGATTGTGGGCCAGGTTCCCAGTAGGGGGCACGTGAGAGGCAACCGGACATTGGTGTTTCTCTTCCTCTCTTTCTCCCTCCCTTTCCTTCTGTCTATAAATAAATAAATAACAACGTTTTTAAAATTTAAATTTATTGCAGTGGCATTTGTTAATAGCATGTTTCATTTGTACATAATAAATGTACAAATAACATGATACATTTCTATGCGGCATCATCTGGCTATTGCATTGTGTTTACCTCCCAAAGTCTAGTCTTCTTCTGTTGCCGTATACTTGACTCCCCCCCACCTTCATCTTACCCTCACCTCATTCCCCTGTGGTCTGGGTTTGTTGCTTTCTGCTTTGTATTCCACGTATGAGTGAAATCATACAGTTCTCATCCTTTTCTGTATGACTTACTTCCTTTAGTATGATACTCCCAAGATTCATCCATGTTGTTGCAAATGGCAATCTTTCATTTTTTTTTTAATTCCTGAAAGTGTAGCACTAGAACTTTCGTTACTATCATCTTTGGGATTACAACTGAGTATTTTTAATTTAAGTATAGTCAGTATATAATCATGTTGGTTATATTAGTTTCAGGTGTACAATATAGTGAGTTAATATTTCTATATTTTATCATGTGATCACCCCACTAATTCCAGTAATCATTTGTCACCATATAAACATATCACAATAGTATTGACTATATTTCCCTTCCTCCTTTCACCCAGTCTACCCCCTTTTTTCTGGTCACTATCCCTTTTGTTTCTCTTTCTAGGACTATATGTTTTTGTTTCATTTGTATGTTTGTTTTATATATGACCCAGAAATTCCATTTCTGGATGTTTATAAAAAAACAAACACTAATTTGAAAAGATACATGCACCCCTATATCCATTGCAGCATTACTTACAATAGCCAAGATACGGAAGCTGCCCAAGTGTCCAGTGAAAGATGAATGGATAAAGAAGTGGTACATATATATAATGGAATATGACTAAGCTGTAAAAATATAGTCTTGCCATTTTCAGTGTTATGGATGGATGTAGTGGGTATTAGGCTAAGTGAAATAAGTAAGACAGAGAAAGACAAATACCATATGGTTTCACTTATATACTCCCTCATTGTTGATGGCTGGGGAGTATTCCCTCTATATACGTGACCCATCTGCTCTATCCTGTCATTCCTTCTCTTGGCTCTTGTGAATGAGTGGATTTTTGAATTGTCTTGTATTCTGTCTTCGTTAACTCAGATAAGCTCAACCCATATAAAAGTCATATGAAGGAAAAATTCCGTCGCGTGTGGGAAAGGGAAACCTGCCTTGAAGTGCCCGATGAGTTCTTCCAAGAATCCATAAAGGAGCAATATGAGCAGCTGAGTGGTGCCTACGGGGACCCCGAGGCCGAGGAGACCCCAGCCACAGTGGTTCTGTGTGGCACGGGAGGGGTCGGAAAAACGGCCTTTCTGAGAAAAGTGATGTTGGAATGGGCGGAGGGAAACTTATGGAAGGAAAGGTTTGCCTTTGTCTTCTTCCTCAATGTTCATGAAATGAACAATATCCTAGAGGCGAGCTTGGTGCAACTCATCTCCAGGGACTGGCCCGAGTCTTCAGAGCCCATCGAAGAGGTGTTATCCCAGCCTCAGAGAATCCTGTTCATAATGAATGGCTTCGAGGAGCTGAAGTTTCACCTGGACCTTGACGACCCATGCAGCGACTGGGGGCAGCAGCAGCCAGTGCCAGTTCTCCTGGGCAGTCTGCTGCACAGAAAGATGCTTCCAGAGTCTTCCCTTCTCCTGGCCTTGGGGTCATTGAGTATGAAAAAATATTTTTACACGTTGCAGTATCCGCAATGCATAAGCCTACCAGGACTCTCTGAAAGTGCAAGGGAACTGTATTTCTGCCACTTCTTCCGGGAGGAACATCAAGCGGCCACAGCCTTCAGTTTTGCGAAGAACCAATCCAGTCTGTTTCGGATATGCAAGTACCCCCTCGGGTGCTGGATGGTGTGTTCGTGTCTGAAGTGGCAGATGGAGAGAGGAGAAGGCATCAGCATCAGCATCAACAGCAGCACTGCGTTGTACGCATCCTATGTGACCAGTGTGCTCAAATCAGGGCTGGAGAACATAACGCTGAGGCAGAGCACAGCCAAGCTCAAAGCCTTGTGCACCTTGGCTGCTGAAGGCATCTGGATGGACACATTTGTGTTTCAACTTGAGGATCTCCAGAGGAATGGGGTCTCGGAAACTGACATCTCGATGTGGGTGGGCATGCAATTTCTGCGAAGGAATGAGGACCGGGTCACCTTCACCCACATATGCCTTCAGGGGTTCTTCGCTGCCCTGTGGTATTTGGTGAGAGGGCCCCACAGCCAGTATCACCCGGCCATCGGAAGTGTGGCCCAGGTTGTGGAAGGGACGGTGACCCCCTCCCCAACCTACCTGATGCAAACGGGGTTCTTCCTGTTTGGGTTATCTGCAAAAAAAATGACCTCCGAGTTGCAGATGTTCTTTGATGTCCCACTGTCCAGGGATATCCAGTGGGAAATAGTCGAGGGTTTTCGGAGTTTGAGTCAGTGCTCGGACAGTCAGTCCTTGGTGAGATCTAAGGAACTGTTCAGCAGTATATTTGAGAACAAGGAAGAAGAATTTATAACACAAGTGATGAGTGTCTTCCAAAACCTTGATATTTATATCAGCCACATAAATGATTTTGTAGTATCTGCCTTCTGCCTCAAACATACCCACAATTTGCAGCAAGTTCACATGACTATAGAACATGTGTTCGCAGATGACCGTGAACACATCTTCAGGTAAGTCCACCTGAGTGTGCCCTCCCCTGCCCCCACCGTGGCTGCAGCCTGCTCCATTCCCCTCTGGGTATTGCATGGATCCTTATATTTGTCTGCTTGTAAAATACGGCTTTGTGCCCTAGGCTGGTGTGGCTCAGTGGATTGAGCACTGACCTGCAAACCAAAGGGTTGCCAGTTCAATTCCCAGTCAGGGCACATGCCTGGCTTGTAGGCTAGGTCCCCAGTTGGGGGCACACAAGAGGCAACCACACATTAACGTTTCTCTCCTCTTTCTCCCTCCCTTCCTCTCTGTCTAAAAATAAATAAATAAAATCTTTAAAAAATAAAATAAAACACAGCTTCGTAATTGAATTTGCTAGATGTGTGACTGAAAAGTGAGTGACTTATGAACGTTTTCCATCTGTATAAACATGGATAAATGTTTCAACTACTATATGGGGCCAAGGTGAAGTTGAAAGGAAGGTAGTTCTTTTGTTTGTTTGATTTTTTTTTCTAGTCTTTACCCAAGGACAAGCTTATTGATTTTTAATCTGGGAGAGAGGAAGGGCAGGAGGAAGAGATGGAAAGAAATATTGATCGGTTGCCTCTTGTACATTCCCTGACCAGGCCCAAACCTGCATCCCAGGCATGTTGCCCTGACCAGGAATTGAACCTGCAACCTATTGATTTATTGGGTGATGCTCCAACCAACTGAGCCACCTGGGCCAGGCAGGAAGGTAGTAGTTTTTACTGTTGCCATGACTATATTTTTTTCCTCCCTCTCACAGCATTTTAGCATATCCTGAGGATCCACTGGGAGGTGACTCTTGGGAGATTGTGCCTGGTTTCCTCTGGATTTCTTCTGTGAGCTTTTTCTCTTCGCTGATTTTGAACTTTGTACCCTTTCATCAGGTTTAGATAACCAGCTCACCCTTCAGCTCTCCAAGAATTCCACCCTGCACGTTCACACTTTAAAAAGTGTTTAAATTTTATTTTATTTTTAAAAGATTTTGTTTGTTTATTTTTAGGCACAGGGGAAAGAAAGGACAAAGAGAGGAAGAGAAATATCAATGTGTGGCTGCCTCTCAGTGTCTCCCTACTGGGGACCTGGCCCACAACCCAGGCATGTGCCCTGACTGGGAATCTAACAGGTGACCCTTTGCTTCACAGGCTCGCGCTCAGTCCACTGAGCCACACCAGCCAGGGCAAAAAAATTTTTTTTTAATTTTAATTGAGGTATAATAGACATATAACATTATGTTGGCTTCACGTCTGCAACATAATGATTCACTATTTCTGTGTGTTGCAAAGTGATCACAAATGTAGCTTACAGCCATCACCACATGGACTGTGTTTTGTCATATGCAATGCGCACTTTTTTGCCCAAATTTTTGAGGGAAAAATAAGGAAGCGCATTACGCTTGGGTATAATGATTATATACCATGGGTGTAATGATGAGTATAATAATTGCACACAAAAACATGGGTGTGTATTATATACAGCAAAGTACAGTAGTTACAGTTTTGTTTGTTGGTTTTGGGTTTTTTTAAATATTGTGATGAGGACATTTAAGATTTACTCTCTTAGCAACTTTAAATATACAATACTATTATTATTATTTTAAATTTTATTTATTGATTTGTGTGAGAGAGATCAACTTTGTTGTTCCACTTATTTCTGCACTGATTGGTTGACTTGTTTTTTGAGATTTTATTTATCTTTAGAGGGGAAGGGAAGGAGAAAGGGAGAGAAATATCAATGTATGGTTGCCTCTTGTGTGTCTCCCACTGGGAACTGCCCTGCAACCCAGTCATGTGGCCTGACTGGGAATCGAACCACAATTCCTTAGTTGGCAGGCCTGCACTCCATCCACTGAGCTACACCAGCCAAGGCAACCTCTTTTATGTGCCCTGGCATGAGACGGGACCTGCAACTTTGACATATCAGGATGATGCTCTAACCCACTGAGTTACCCAGCTGAGTCCACAGTATTATTAACTACAATCATCACGCTGTACATGACATCCCCAGGGCTTATTTATCTTATACCTGTATGTTCATGTTTTGGGATACAATTTCTGTTCACTGATGGACTGCCCAATACCAGCCTTTGTTCATAATCATCAAATATTGTCATGAAGGCAGAATAAGATGTACTAAGCTGGCTCAGGTCACATGGCTAACAAGTGGTTGAAATGAGGTTTGATCCCATTGCTGTGGCTTTGGGAGTCCCTTTCTCAACCATCATGCCATGCTGACTCAGTGTACCTGGCTGCACCACTTCCTGTTCAGGTCTGGGTGTCTGTCAGCTTGGAGGGGCTGTGGGAACAGCACTCTGAGAATGTCTTGAGTTGAATGCAGCCACTGGAGCCTCACAGGGTTTGTCCCCTCACAGTACCACCCAGAAAATCTTCTGCTGGAAGGACTTCTGCTCAGCGTTCAGCACCAGCAAGGACTTTCAGGTGCTGGACATGGACGGCTGTGTTTTCGACGATGCCTCCCATGAGGTCCTCTGGAAATCACTCATTCATTCCACTTGCAAACTTCAAAAGTTGACGTGAGTTGGATGCGTAAAAATATTAAAAATATAGAGATGTACAAACATACAAAAATTATATGTAGATATGTAGAAATGTAACATAACATAACATAACGTTCAAAACAATCAATTCCAATCCGCACTGACCATGTTCCAAGCACTACAATAAATGTTGATTTCTTAACCATCATGACACCATCCATGGCTTTCATGAAGAAATTAATTTGCCAAACCCTGCAGAAGTATCCAGGGGGGAAAAAGCAATAATTTACACATATTATCTCTTTTTTTATTGCATAATTTAAATTTATTTTTAAAAATTATCTCCTTGTAAAAAAAAATCTTAGTTTTTAAAGCAAGATGGACCCATTCCTTGGGAACGCAGTCTTGCCTGGAGTGTCAGTTCAGCAGTGGGCACTTGTCCTGGGAGCGAGGTGCCGTTCTAAGCCTAGGAATGTACACAGAGGCACAGACGCAGTGTCTCTGTCCTCCTGGTGCTGAGGACTCACTGTGGAGCGGTCCCCTCCCTCCTACTGTGGGTGGTGACATGTGGGTGAGGAGGGACTGGGAGGAAACAGGAAACATCTAAGCAGCCGAGCCTCGATGCTTGTCTGCCATCTGAAGATCCCAAGAGAAAAAGTTTATAGGAGAGAGTAACCAGATTTCTCAGGGCAGGGCCATGAAGCATACAGTGGGAAGAATTGGGTAAGCGGTATCTTGCTTGGTGCTGAGACTTCATGCCATTGGTTCTAATACCTTATCTTTTGTAGGTATAATTATGCTTTTGACCTTGGAAATGGTGTCGACTTCTTTAGGGTCATTCTGCACAATGCTCACCTGACATATCTGAGTCTGCATGGCACCAACTTGTCCCGTGAACAAGTCAAGAAGCTGTGTGAGATACTGGCACACCCCTTCTGCAACATAGAACAGCTGATGTGAGTCTGTGTTTTCTGTGGTGAAGGACATATTTCTTTCCATGTGGTCTTGGCAGTTCAAATGTGCCCACTTCCTTTTCTGCATTGGCCTTTGCTTCTCACATGCTTCTTCACTCCCATCTTGGTGTCTGAAGACGTCCTGGCAAGGGGAGGGAGACTCTAGCGAGCAAGCCATCCTCTCAGAAGGGTTGTCTCACCCTTGTCTTCCATTTTACTTGCGTGACTTAATGGCTTATGGACAACTTACGTGACTCTTCTTGCTCCTGTCTTCAACAAACCATGCCAAAGCCAGAACCCCAAACATTTTTCCCTGAAGCTATTGGTAGAAATGTAAAATGAGAAAGAATATAATGGCCACAAAGCATGATCATCTAATTTGGCTGATGGCAATATTGAGTCCAGAGGGAAAGTGACTGATTTGCCTAAAACCATTTCTTCCATTTAAAAATGATCTGGGCCTGGCTGGGTTCCTCAGTTGGCTGGGGTGTTATCCCATACTAAAAGTTTGTGGATTCAATCCCCAGTCAGGGCACATACTTAGGTTGCAGGTTTGATCCCTGTTCAGGCTCTGTACAAGAGGCAAATGATTGATCTTTTTCTCTCATACTGATGTTTCTCTCCCTCTCTAAAATCAGTAAACATATCCTCAGGTGAAGACTAAGAAAATTATATAAAAATGAGCTGGGATAAATCTGCCCTGGTTGGGTGACTTCTAGACAGGCTCAACCCATTTTTTTTTTCAGCAGAAAGAACAAAGAAGTGTAGTAGAGGTAGCAGTAAACAAAACCAGCTAATTAAACCCACCAAGAAAGCATGTTCTCTCCCAGTTCAGCACCCCTTCTTTGCAGTAACAATAGCAAATACAGTGGATTCACACAAAGTCAGTTAATTGTGCTGTCAAGCTTCAACAGGAGAAGAAGGCAGATGATGCGGACCCCAATTCATGGGGCCTGCTACAGAGCCGGTGTCCGCCACACTGTGGATGAGGCATGAGAAATTCACACAGACTACCGAGTCCTGTGGAGGAAAAGAGAGACTGTGGCTTTTCTCTCAAGGGGAACAAAAGCCTTGGCGCTTGCCTAGGTAGGCCTTGGGCACATTACATGATGGTCTTCATTTACTATGCACAGGTTCGCTTTAGGTGGTTACCTTTTACCAAAAACAAAGGAGATGATGCCTCTAATCACATCAGAGAAGGAGGATATTTGCAAATGCAAAGGGAAAAGTGGTTGAACCTGTTACACTCATACTTGGGAGGGTTAGCACAGACTTTAGGAAGTTATAGTAGGCACTTTCTGCCTCAATTCAGGGTGAGGGAGTTTTAGCAAAAGCAAGTCTCAAAGCGGTCTAGGTACATTGCAGGCCTGATTCCCCATGGGAGCACCTATCCATGGGCGTGGATCCTGTGCATCGGACCTTGCTTTCCACTGGGAGCTGGGCCCATGCCACATAGAACCGTCTCTTTACAGGTACGTTCCGTGCAGGAGAGTTGTTTGAACATTTAGGCTTTACTGTAGGTCCTAGTCATCACTTGAGGTGTTTCCATATTATAACAATTTTTTTAACTCTAGCATTCTTTACTCAATGGTGACTTACAGAATTCTTGAGTATTTTGCCCTGTTTTATGTTATGCCATTTACATAGGGTTTAACATGTTTATTTTTACATTGTTGGCACTAATATGCATAGGGTTTTATGTATTACCTGTTAACCTAAGTATTGGGCATAGGATATAGGAAACTAGGGGTGAGTTGTACAGGTATTTTAGCCAGAAACTTTGCCTCTTTGGGGTAGACCAACCGTTGTCTTCACTTCTGTTTGGTAATGGGAATGAGAGGTCCTCAGTATCCAGTTTCTCTAGCCCAGTAGTTCTCAACAGAGGGCAGTTTTGTCCCTGTGAAAATGTCAGTTTCTGGGAACACTTTTTTTTAATCCTCACCCAAGGATATATTTATTGATTTTAGCGAGAGAGGAAGGGAGAAAGAAAGAGAAACATCAGTGTTGGAGAGAAATATTGATCGGTTGCCTCCCATACATGCCCCAACCGGGGATCAAACCCACAACCGAGGTATGTGCCCTGACTGGGGATCAAACTTGTTACCCTTTGGTGTACCAGACAATGGCTCCAAGCAGCTGAACCACCCAGCTAGGGCAGGAGACATTGTTGCTGGTCACAACTGCATGGGAGGGTGCTACTGTCATCTAGTGGCGGGAGGCCAGAGATGCTGTTTAACTTCCTACAATGCTTAGGTCAGTCTCCACAACAAAGCAGGTGGTGAAGTACCTGCTGTCACCATGAGATGCTTTTGCGAAGATGCATTACAGCTCAAACTAGGGGTTACTCAACCTCAGAACTACTGACAAATAATCAGGTAATCAGACTGAGTCCCAGGTAATCCTCTGTTGTGGGGGCTACCCACAACAGTGGATGTCCAGCAGTGTCCCTGACCTCCACCCACTACATGGCAATAATGTCCCTTGCCCCAGAAGCAACAACCACAACCATCTCCAGACACCCAGAAATGTTCCCTGGAAGTCAACAGTCACCCCTGCTGAGCACCACTGGCTCAGACTGTCTTAACTTCAGTGGGAAGCAGTCAAAGGTTAATAAGGAGAGTCGTGGGATTACATTTGTTCTCTCTCTTTTTAAAGATTTTATTTATTTAGTTTTAGAGAGAGGGGAAAGGAGGGAGAGGGAGAGAAACATCAATGTGTGGTTGCCTCTTGCACACCCCCTACTGGGCTCCTGACCTGCAATCCAGGCATGTGCCCTGTCTGGGAATGGAACTGGAGACTCTTTGGTTTGCAGGCTGGCACTCAATCCACTGAGCCACACCACCCCAGGCCAATTTGCTCTTTTTTTTAATATTTTATTATTTATTTATCTTTAGAGGGGAAGGGGGGGGAAGGAGAGGAGAGAGGGAGGGAGGGTCCAATTTGCTTAAAGAGTCTGGAATTGGCAGGTGTGAGACCAGAAGCCAGGGTGTGGTCCATGACCATTTTTTTTCTTTTAATACTCACCCAAGAATGTGCTCATTGATTTTTAGAGACAGGGGCATGGAGGGAGGGAGGGAAGAAGGGAGAGAGAGAGGGGGAAGGAGAGAACCATCTTTGCCAGAGAGAAACATCAATAGGTTGCCTTACATATGCATCCAACCAAGGATGGAACCCACAACCCAGGCACCTGCCCTGATCAGTCTAATCCACACGACCTTTCCATTCACAAGACAATGCTCCAACCAATGGAGCCACACTGGCCAAGGCCATGGCTGATGAAAAAATTATTTTTTCAATTGCACTTGGTGTACAATAATATTACATTAGTTTCAGGTGTGCAGCATAGTGATTAGACATTTATGTAACTTATGAAATGATCCCCCTGATAATTCTAGTGCCCATCTAACACCTTATGTAGTTATTACAACGTTATTGACTATATTCCCTGTGCTGGACTTTACATCCCTGTGAATGTTTTGGAAATATCAATATGTACTTTTTTTTTTCAGTTTCAAGAGGTTTTTTTTTAACTTTATTTTTATTGTTGACATTATCACAGATGTCCCCATTTTCCCCACTTTAGCCACCTCCACTCAACCCCGGGCCCCTCTGGCCATCACCATGCTGTTATCTGTGTCTACAGGTCACGCATGTATGTTCTCTGGCTAATCCCTTCCCCTTTTTTCCATCCAGCCCCCAATCCCCTCCCATCTGGTGACCACTAGTCTGTCCTCCACACTGTGAGTGTATGTCTGTTTGCCAGTAGGCCCTACCGGCCCCTGCTCCCATCCCTGACACGTGTCTCCCACGCAGGTTAGGGAAGTGCGACATCACCGAGGAGAGCTGCACAGATATTGCCTCTGTCCTACAGCGCAACCAGAAGCTGAAGCTGCTCTCCTTGATAGAGAACCCCTTGATGCACGAGGGTGCCCTGAACCTGTGCAATGCCCTGAGGCAACCAGCCTGCTCCCTGGAGAAGCTGCTGTGAGTCCATCTGGGGCAGTGTGCTCTTGAACCCCTCAGTTGGCAAAGCCGCAGAAGGCTGGTAGAGGGATTGAGAAATGGGGCTGTGGGCCCACCTGAGCTGCTGGCACCCCAGAGGCGCCATGAGGCTGAATTTAACAGAGGCGTGGCTCTCAGGGGGCCTGGCGTTGAATTTGCAACCCAGTAAATCCTCCTGGTCACTGCGGAGGATGCTATGTCTGTAGGTGTCCTGGGTCCTGGGGAGGGGAGAGTGTCAATCAGTCTGAAAACGGGATTCACTTGACTTCTTCCAGGTACAGTAGGGTGCATGGCTGATTTACCCGTGAGGCGGCACCAGGAAATCAGTGTTAAATCCCGCAAAATGCTGTGGTGCCTTGAAGTGGGGGGCAGGGGCAGAACAGCCCTGTCTGTGGAAGCCGATGAGTCATTCGGAAGCAAAATTTCTATCTGTGTGTGTGCTCAGGTGTGCATGGGTGTAAAGACACATACATTGCACACCACACACAGAGTCGCATTCAAAATAGAGGTGGGTCAGAATAGTATTACTGAGATGACTTTTTAGGCCGTAAAAGAAACTCAACAGTAAGTTAAATGTCAGGAATGGTAAACATTAAAGCCAAACTGTTTATTATTTTTAAGGACTTTTTTATTGATTGATTTTAGAAAAACAGACATCAATTTTTGTCATTCCACTTATGTAGGCATTCACTGGTTGCTTCTTGCATGTGCCCTGACCTGGGATCAAACCCACAACCTTGGGCATATCAGGACACCACTCCAATCAACTGAGCCACCCAGCCAGGGCAACTGCTAATTTTTTTTTAATGTTAAACAGTATATCAATTAAACCAACTGCACCCATGTTGTCCTATTGAGTTCTGAGCTACCAGGCAGTGACTTCTATCTTACGCATCCTGTTATATTCCACGTTTTGAATGGTGTATAAACAGGAACCCATAATCACAGTATTAAGTTTTAGATAATATTTTTGAAAGAAAAATCATGTTAAATAGTGGGTGATCCAGCACATTCTACTAAGTAAGTCAACACACTACATTACAAACGAGGGGCGACTTTGTTTGAGGTCCTCCCAGCTGGGGGTATGATCTGCCCTGGAGCTGGAATCTGAGATTCCCCAGTTTGGGATGCCATTTTCATATTCTTGCCTCTGTATTTTTGCAGCTGCTACACTTCTTAATCCTCTCATCTTTCTCAAATGACCACCGAGTACGAGGAACAATGAAGTTTTCGCACGTGGCTTCAGGGAAATATTACCACATAGAGCGCAAGCAGGCTGACAAATTGAGTGTGTGTGTCTCTCTGCAGATTGAAGTTCTGTTGCCTCACCTCTGCCACCTGTGCCTACATCTCTCAAGCCCTTTACTGCAGCAAATCCCTGTCCGTTCTTGACCTGGGGTCCAATGCCCTGAAAGACGAGGGAGTGGCATATTTCTGTAACTCACTGCGGTACCCAGGCTGGAGCTTACAGGAGTTGTGGTAGGTGTGGCTATGATTTACTCAGGTCTTTCTCTTCCTTCCTTCCTTCTTTCCCTCCCCTTCCCTTTCCTTCCTTCCTTTTCTTTTTTCTTTTCTTTTCTTTTCTTTTCTTTTCTTTTCTTTTCTTTTCTTTTCTTTTCTTTCTTTTCTTTTCTTTTCTTTTCTTTTCTTTCTTTCTTTCTTTCTTTCTTTCTTTCTTTCTTTCTTTCTTTCTTTCTTTCTTTCTTTCTTTCTTTCTTTCTTTCTTTCTTTCTTTCTCTCTCCCTCCCTCCCTTCCTTTCTCCCTTTCTTTCTTTTTTCCTTCCTTCCTTCCTTCCTTCCTTCCTTCCTTCCTTCCTTCCTTCCTTCCTTCCTTCCTTCCTTCTTTTCTTTCTTTTTTTCTTGATACTGGTACCCTGCAAAGAAACAAGGAGGGGGAAAGCACGGGGTCTACTGAGAACAAGCGAGGCTGCATAACTCCCCACCTGTTACACCTAGGAGTGGCCAGTGCTGCACTGACACACATGTGTCTTAATTAAAGGATGGATCAGGACTTTGGGGCCTTGCTGCTCTGCAGTCAGGTCTCTGGTCTCAGGAAGACCAGAAATGGAGCCCTCCGTGCCCTTGACTGGCTGGGTGGACTTGCGAGGGTGCCTCACCTCACCCCAAGTGCGACACGAGGGTCATCCATTTCTCCTGTATGTGCTGGAGCCTCTCCTGAGCCAATGAGGAAAGTGGCAAATGAAACTCTCTAACATCCCTGTTTCCATAGAAGTTGATTTCATGGAGTTTCATATGCACACACAGCTGCATGCACACACATGTGAGTGTGAGGCTATGAATGTATGTTCAGCCCAGATCAATCCCTGTTGGGAGGTGATGTCCTGCACCTGGTAGGATGTTTAACAGCATCCCTGGCTTCTACCCACTAGGTGTTGGTAGCTCATCCTGTCTCCTAGTGTGGCAACCAAAAATGTCTCCAGGCATTGCCAATGTCCCCTAGGAGGGGGATGGACAAATATCATCTCTGCCTAAGAATCACAGATATGCATACACACAGCGCACACACAGAGAGACACACATGTGTATATGTCTGTATAAATGTGTGCTTATATACATGTGTGCCCCTATACATGCATATACCCACATATATGTGAGACGTGTGTGTGTCTATATTATATGTGTGCATGTGTATACAGATACATAGCAGATAGTGGGTGATACATTCTGTGGGGAACCATGAACTTAAATGCAGCAGAGAGATTGGGGACATGATATTATATAAAATATTCAGGGAAGTCCTCACCAAAATGTGACAATTGTGTAGAGAAATGAAGGCTATGTGGGCAGTAGCCTTCCTGGTATTTGAGTCAAGAGCATTCCAACTGTCAAGAACAATAGGATAGACAGACCACCAGAGCAGGAGAATTATAGGGAGCCTTAAGTGTTGGGCTGAAAAGGACTTGAGAAGTTGTTGGATCTTCACCATTAGTACAGTCATCATCACCATCACCAACATCACCATCATCATCTTCACCATCATCACCTCTGTCATCACAATCATCTTTACCATCATCACCACCATCACCATTATTACTATCATCTTCACCATCATCGTCATCATTGTCGTCACTATGACCATCATCACCATTATCATCACCACCATCTCAGAAGGACTTGAGCATTTCATCCTTCATATCAATAACTGAAAAATAAGCTGAGGCATTAAAGATTGGATCTCATGACTGTATTTGTGTGTGTGTGTGTGTGTGCGTATTTTCCCCCAGGTTGACAAATTGTTACCTCACCCCTTTTTGCTGTAAGGACCTCTCTACTCTTATTGTTAGCAATGCTAAGCTGAAAACACTGAAACTGAGAGACAATAAAATAGAAGATGCTGGTGTCAAAGAGTTATGCACAGCTTTGAAACACCCTAACTGTAAACTGGAGAATCTTGGGTGAGTGTTTCCTGATGGTCTTTATGGGAAGGCTTCCCTATTTCCAGACCGGGACCAGCTGGAGGATTAATGGGACAGAGGGGAAGCAGGGTCCAAAACAAGTGTGTCTAGAATCATCTAAGTAAAATGCTGTCCTATGAACCTGGGGTTTTTCAAGCTTGGCACTCTTGACTTTGGGACAGCATAGCCCTTTGCTGTGCTAGGGAGGTGGAGACTATCCTGTGCATTGTAGGGTGTGTAGCTGTATCCCTGGCCTCATTCTACCCACAAGATGCCAGTAGCATCCCCAGCTGTGTCGGGTATCTCCAGACATTGCCACATGTCCCCCAGGGGACGTAATGACCCTAGCAGAGAACCACTGATTTAGACCGTCAAGTCTGCTCAGAGGCATGGAATTGGCATCTCACGATGGTGTGCCTTCCAGGCCACCCAAAACCATGGCAGTCTCTTTGGGCATGTCCCTGTTACAGGCTGGACTTGTGCGAGCTCACCATGGCCTGTTGTGAGGACCTGGCTTCAGTGCTCACTTTCAGGAAATCACTGAAGAGCCTGAACCTGGACGGAAATAACCTGGGCCACGAGGGGGTGGTGATACTCTGTGAAGCCTTGAACCATCCAGAGTGTGCCTTGGAGCTTCTCGGGTGAGTGGACATTTCCCTTGGTGGTGAGTGATCTCGGGATGATGTGTGGGTACCGGGGCGGGTGTGTTCAGCCTCAGCATGATTGACATTTGGGCTGCAGAGTTCCTCACTGCAGTGCAGTGTGTTGAGCACCATACCTGGTCTCCATCTGCACATTACGTGCCTGTAGCCACCCCCACCCCCAGCCCTAATGATCAAACATGGAATATTCAAAGCAGCTAAGAGACTCGATCTTAATTGTTCTCACCACGAGAAAGAAATTACAATTATGTGATGTGACAAAGGCCATCATACTGCATTTTACAGATGGAGCGAACTAGCATGCATTTCGTACCTCAAATTTTTATATGTTATATGTCAATTCCATGTCAACAAAAATTAATGAATTTTTAAAAGACTGGCTATCCCACTCATTCTCTGAAATTAAAAACAATGTCTCCAGACATCATCAAATGTCCCCTAAGAGGCACAATTGTCCCTGGCAAGAACCACTTCCTTACTATTGTAGAAATACTGTCTTCTACTTACATTGCCCAGAAAGATATAATCCCAGCTCAGACTTGGGAGGAGTTCTAGAAACAGACGAGCTGAGTCTTGAACAGATGTCCATTCCTGAAGCAAGAGTTGTGGTTAGGATTGTTCCAAACATTACATTTGCACGTAGAGCGTGGAGAGTGGACGCTTGAGAGTGAATATTTGAAACTCTTCCAGAGACCAGCTCCCTGGATGAACGAGATGGTTCACCACTCTGACCATCACATTCCTGCTCTACAGGGAGAAGATCTGGGCTTTCCCTCCCCATCTACGCCATCCTCCCCGTCATTTCCAGGGGAGAATGGCATAGGGATGTGGAGCATCCAAATATTTCTGTCTTCCCAGGCTGGACAGATTCATGTTTGAGGAGGAAACTCAGGTTCTGCTGGAAGCCGTGGAGGAGAAAAACCCCCAACTGAGAATTTTACCTCAACCTTGGGAGACCGAGGAGAACAGGATGCGAGGTGTGCTCATCTGACAGGGGACCCCCCTGCAGGAGGCTCCCCACAGGCCCTTCTTGGTCACATCCAGTCCCGGAAACCATCTGTCATAACAGCAGGGGCTGTGAATTCACAGCAGCTCCCCCACAGCATTCTAGCAAACAAGATAACCGGGGTGTGCGGGTCATTGTGTACACACTGCCTGTGCCCGAGATGTTCATTCCCCCATTGCCCCAGACTCCCATCCTACCTTGTGATATTTAGAACAAACACATTAAAGGGATACACACTTTGGAAAGCACACCTTTGCTGTCTCCATCGATGTCTTGGGGTGCAGGAGCCTGGGCCTGAGGTAGCCACTGTCCTGTCACACTTCTGATTTACAAGTGACGCTGGCATGTGTCTGTAGATTTTAGGGTTTATTGTTATCACTACATCTAACATCCACCCAAACGTTCCATTTTTGGTTTGACTATCTAAAGTTAGATTTTTAAAACATCTTCACCCAAGGATGTTTACTGATTTGAGACAGAAAGAAAGAGAGAGAGAGGGAGAGAGAGAGAGAGAGAGATCAATTGGTTGCCTCCCATATGCACATCAAGGATCAAACCCATAACCTAGACATGTGCCCTGACTGGGGATTGATCATGCAACCTTTTGTGTCTGGGACAATGCTCCTACCACCTGAGCCACCCAGCCAGGGCAAGTAAAATTTTTAGAAATTAAATGTATTGAGGCAACATTGGTTAATAACATTAAATACATTTCAGGTGTACAACATTATAATTTGATATCTGTATATTCTACAGTGTACTCAGCACCCAAAGCCTAATTCCCTTCTGTTACCATATATTGGAACCCCTGTACCAAGTTTTCCCTCCCCAACTCCTTTTCTCCTTCATTCTCTGTACCTATGAGTTTGTTTTGTTCTTTTTTTTTATTTTATATCTCACACATGAGTGAATAATCTGGTTTTTTCTTCTTTTCCATCTGACTTATTGGACTTAACATGATATTCTCAAGGTCCACCTGTGCTGTTAAAGACAACACTTTCTTTTCTATGTCCAAATATTACACACACACGCACACACAAATACATATACATATACATATACATACAGAGTGGGGCAAAAGTAGGTTTACACTTGTTCATATAGAAAATATGATAATTAACCATTATAAGAGTAAATTCTGTTTCATGTACTCACAACTGTAAGCCTACTTTTGCCCCACCCTGTACTCACGTACATAACACATCATCTTTATTCTTCCACTGATGGACCCTTACATTGCTTCCACATCTTGGCTATTGTAAATAATTTGGTAATGAGCATAAGGGTACATATCTTTTTTAAAAAAACATATTGAATTTTGGGGCGTGACATTGCTTAACAAAATTAATACAGTTTTCAGGGGGGCAACTCTATAATACATCATTTGTATATTGCATTGTGCCTTCACCAACCCAAGTCAAGTCTCTTCCCATCAGTTTTATACCTGCTTTACTCTCATCTACCTGTCCCCACCACCCCTTTTCCTCTGGTCATCACCACGCTGTTGTCTGCATCTGATTTGTTTTTCCTTTGCTTAATCCCTTCACCTTTTCCACCCAGTCCCCAACCTCCTCCCCTCTGACAGCTGTCAGTCTGTTCTCTGTGCCTATGAGTCTGTTTCTATTTTGTCTGTCAGTGTATTTTGTTCATTAGATTCCACACAAATGAGATTATATGGTATTTGTCTCTCTCTGACTGGCTTATTTCACTCAGCACAATACTCTCCAGGTCCATCCCCGCTGTCACAAAAGGTAAGAGTGCCTTCTCTTCTACAGCTGTGTAGTATTGCACCATGTACGTGTACCATAGCATTTTTATCCACTGGTCTCTTGGCAGGCGAATTTTTGCTTTTTCTTACCTGCTCTGCTTGCTCCTTGGGCTGTGGTGGGGGAGGCTGTCTTTGTGATCATGCAGCTTGATGTCTGGGTGACCAGGCCGGTGGGTATGTCTGGGTCACCTCAGTCTCAGTATACCATCGCCATGGTGAGGGGGGTGACTGAGGGGGAGGAGCCACATTTGCAAGCTTGCAGTATTGCTCCTTCATTCCTGGACTGCCGTGCCATCTAGGGGTGCCCAGGGGTGTCCAACCTATGACCCGTGGGCTGCTTGAGGCTCAGGATGGCTAAAAATATGCCCCCCCAAATTTACAAAAATGTAAATCTACTTAAAACATTATGAGATTTTTTTTTATGATTATGTGTCGCAGTGTATTTAATGTGTGTCCCAAGACAACGCTTCTTTTTGCACTGTGGCCCAGAGATGCCAAAAGGTTGGACACCCCTGCTAGACACATTTCTACTGTTGCTCCAAGTTCTAAAGCGATGGTGGGGAGGGGAGGGAGCCGGGGTCTCGGGCAATGACGTACTCCTGCCCCTCTGGCCCTGCCTGCAACACAGTGAGGGGCCGCACCCTGACTCTTCCACACCTAATGCATTAGCCAGGTTGGCACCAGCCACCACCCGCATCTGTGGGCACTGTCCCTGGCTTTCCCTCATCCCACCTCCACATATTCTGATGTGCGGACCTCTCAGGCATGTTTGTGTGCTGAGAAGAGGAAGCTTTGCTCAATTACACATGTTCAACGTTTAAATTGAAGGGGAGGTGTAAAGAGGCCTTTCATTCTGATGTGAGGCTGATTTAACCCTCCAATATTTAGATTTGATCAGTTTCTCATCTAATAAACATTGCATTTCCAAATCTCCACTCATCCTTTCAGGTATGACACTGTAATAGCATTTTAAAAATCCAGTGTTATTGCCCTGGCCTGGTAGCTCAGTTGGTTAGAGTGCTGTCCTGAGGCGCCAAGGTTGTGGGTTCAATCCCCAGTCAGGGCACATACAAGAATCAACCAATGAATGCAGAAATAAGTGTAACAACAAATCAATTTCTTTCTCTCTCTCATTCAATCAATAAATAATTTTTAAAAATTCAGTATTATTTTTCAAACATATCTACCTAGCTCTAATGTTTTCTTTTTCAATCTCACATAAATACCTCACCGTCATACTTAAACATCATCTCTTTCTCCTTTGCCTCTACAAATAATATTTGTACCTTATTGACCCTATCTGAATTTATTTTTTTATTGCAATTAAAAAGTTTTTAATAAAATTTGTTTTTTTTAAAGATTTTATGTATTTTTAGACATGGGTGAAAGGAGGGAGAGAAAGACGCAAAGAAACATCAATGTGTGGCTGCCTCTTGTGCACCTCCTACTGGGGACCTGGCCCACAACTCAGGCATGTGCCCCAACCCAGATTCAAACTGGTAACCCTTTTGTTTATAGGCCAGAACTCAACCCACTGAGCCACACCAGCCAGGGCAATAAAGTTTATTTTTAAAGCACTTTTAGGTTGATAGTGAAAATTGAGAGGAAGATACAGAGATCTCCCCTATAGTCTCTGCTTGTACTCATGCCCCTCACTGATCTAAACAGTCGACAAATGGTAATAATAATCATCCCATCCTGTTGATATTATCGTTGCCATTGGTGAAACTGGAAAGCTTATTCTAAAAATACGGTGAAAATTTAAAAGAGAGAGAGAAAGACACGGGCCTGCGAACCAGACAATCGCGGTTCGATTCCCAGTCAGGGCACATACCTGGGTTGCAGACCGGTTCCCTGCAGGCCACTTCCCAGCAGGGGACACATGAAAGGCAACCATACATTGATGTGTCTCTCCCTCTCTCCTTCCCTTCCCCTCTAAAGATAAAATATTTAAAAAAAAAAAAAAAAGAGAGAGAGAGAGACTATTTCAACCAATCTTGATAAATAACAGATGGAAAGACTTGCCATACTTAACATCGCTGTGATTCGGGGTCATCTCTTCATTTATTTTTGTGAATTTTCTCTTTATTCTTTTACCCAATTTTCTAACTGTTCTTTCACTGTTTTCTCAGTGTTAGAGTTTTGATGGTATCTGTCTGTTCTGTGCATTTCTTTCCCCTGAATTCCCTTGAATTCTGTCTATATCAAGAATATACCTCCAGGGCAAATTCACGGAAAAAGGAAGGACATCTGGCTCATTGTCTGTGGAGTTTTCTATGGGTGACTTTGTCATGGTCTCCTGTGGAGACAGTAGGAACACCTAGGGATTCTGAAGTGGGTTATAGTAGCTTCAAATGGAAATTCTTGAGGTTTAAAAGACCCAGGGCCATTGTAGTGAGCCGCGTGGCATTTAGGTCAAGGGAGAGACCAGATTCCAGATCAAATGCGGATGCTCACATTATGGGCCAATCTTGGGTGTCAACCAGAGTTTTGAAACATGAGAGCGTTGAGAGAAATGCCCATTTCTGTATAATTGTGTAATACATAGAGTAAAAGGAAGTTTGGGCCCGGCCTTGACTCTCAGTTCCAACCACAGAGTACAACTTTGACTCTGAACTTAGTTTCATCCACAGAGAGCAAAGGAAACTCTTCCTCCCCATGGTTCAGCTGCTCATTAGGGTCATCTTGTTAATTGCCAAAATTACCAGTGATCACCAGTGGTGGCTGGCAGTGATTTGCAATGGGGACAAAACTTGCTCCTCCTTGGAGACACCCAGATGCTCTATGCAGACAGTGTCACTGATACCACAGATGTGTCAATGGCATCTCTGTGGAGGGGGGGAATCAGGTCCAGGAACCCCATCCCTGCAACTATAGCCTCAGGTACCCCACTAATCCTGCCTGGCATGTCCCTGTGCAGAGCTCAGGAGAAAGACCAGCCAGGTGAGGTCTTCCTTATGTCCCATCTCAAGAACAGAAAGGGTGGTTTCAGGAGAGGAAATAGAAATAAGTTTGGGGGACACCATTGGGCAGGACAGGTGCTGACCCACCTGTATCTAAGCAGTTTCAGCCTGCTCTTCCAGGCTGGGGGGCAGTGGGCCTGTGCTGGGAAGAGTCATGCTAATGGTGAGGTCCACTGTGGCTCTGGGTGCCAGAGTCCCTGACAATGTGAGAAAAAACATGAGTGCCCTTGGAGTCTGAGCCAAGCCTTGGAGGACTAGAGCCACTGACAGAGCTGCTCAGCCCTATACCAGAGGGTCATCTTACTGTCTCACACCTACAGATTTTCAGGCTTGGATGTGAATACAATTGGAAAACTCGTGGGCAAAGTTTGAGTGTGTAACTCCAAAATTCAGACATAAAATAATGCCCATTGACACAAGTGCACATGTAGACAGATATTCCCTGAGAATAATCCATGGTATAATGCTGTGATG